TGCGATGACTGCTTCGATAGGACTTCTTTCCACCACTACCACCACCTCCTCCTTCTCCACGTCCTTTTGAATCCCTAGTTGCTGCCTTTCGTCTCGAACGTGATGAGGATTCTGTGGCATTTGAAGACTGACTGGGAGGGATGGCTGAGACCGGACTACGATCTCGAGAACACTCGCGACGCCTTTCTCTTGATCCATGTCATCGAGAAGAACGAACACTGCAACCACCGTATTCTCGACCAGAATCTTCTTCATATCTGTTTATATTAATGAATATGTATGTTTTCAACTCTAACTCCATGGACAAGAAAACCACATTTACACTAAATGGCAATTTGGCTATTTCTCTCAAATTTCCTAAACCAATTTCTCTAAAGAAGTCCAACAAAGCCGTTTCCACCATCAACAGGCCCGTAGAGAAAGAAAAAGATGAAGCTAATACTAGAATTCATCTCGGAGGAGTGGAGAATCTCAACAACCTCTTCAACCTAGACTTAATCAAACTATTATTCAGAAAACGTCGCTCACTCAGTCTGACGAGAAATCGCCACCTCTTTCTGGTATGTGGAAGTCATTTCTACTTTGATAGAATACGACTTGACCAAAATCCTTCACAGTATGGCCAAGCCTTTACCCCATTAAGATCGAGCATAATCGACAAATAAATTTGATTGCATCCTAAGTGACAAAAATTGACTTGTTCTTAACTAAACAAAAGAAAGACACTCAAGGAAAACGAAAGAGGAATAACAAATACATGATGCCTCGTTTTAGCTGTAGATATTAACTGCAACTAGTAGAGATTTCAAAACGGGGCCACTTATTTCCAGCCTACTTGATGAAATCTCATGCCAACCATCAATTTGAGTGCAAAAGTGTTGCAAATAGTGAGTAGAGAGTTAAATAGTATAGAATCAACTTATCGATCAAACCGACTTTCTTAATCGTTATCACGATATCGAGAGCGGCGACTCCCGAAATCCTCCGCCGGACTAGAATTACGTGAAAGTAGGGATAAACAATTACATCACAAATCAGACAAAATAGTAAGAGTGAATGAAAGCAAACTTACAACTTGATATTGGGAGAAGTATGAGGTGGATGTCTTGCTCCTGGTCCACAACAAATGACGCTTGGAATAAGGAGA